TGGAGAGAGACAGGCAGACAGACAGAAAGACAGACAGACAGGCAGACAGACTAGAAAAATGATGGAGCTAGGGAAATAGCTTAGTGGCATGAGCACCTGCCTGGCAAGTGCAAGGCTCTGCGTTTGATCCCTGGTACAAAAAAAAGTCAAAAACATTGCATGAACAATACAAGAAAGAATTAGAATGCATGAAAAGATTCAAACAGATACCAGGAAATTGAGCATTCCATTGAAATCTGGTGAAACTGCTTGAATGAAAGCGAAGATAGACTTTCAGACCTAAGAAAAGACCTCTTAAAAATAACAAGGAATCAGGAAATAAATCCAACAGCTGCAAGATGATACAAAGAGAAATAATATAATATCGACAGGTGTCAACAAAACATCAGGAGTCAATATAAATGATATAAAAAGATTATTTGCAGAAGTAGTAGCAGAAACTTTCCTAAACATGAGAAAAGAATCTGATCTACAGACTAGTGAGGACTATAGAACTCCAATTAGTCATAACCAAGATAAATCTATACCCTAACACATAATAATCAAGATCCCAGAAATTCAACAAAGAACAGAATATTAAAAGCTATTTGAGAAAGAAATGACCACCTATATATAATGGAAAGCCCATCAGAATCACAGCAGATTTCTCAACACAAACCATCAAGTCAAGAGGAGCTTGTAGTGAAGTATTTCAAGTCATGAAAGAAAGCAACTTCCAACCAAGATTGATATATTCTGCACAACTATCAACATTAATGGAGAGGGGCTGGTGGGATGGCTCAGTGGTCTAAAGCACCTACTTAGAACAAGCTTAGCAAAGCACAGGGACCGCGGTTCAATCCCCCAGCACCACATGCCAGCCAGCCCCGCCCCCTGGTGGGCTGAGCTGGCCACACACACACACACACACACACACACACACACAAATAAATAAATTTAAAAAAAACATTAATGGAGAAATAAAATGCTTTATGACAAAGAACAACTGAAGAAACGCATGACCACCAAACCAACCTTGCAAAGAGTTTTGATAGATATTCTAGAAAGAGACAAAATGACCACAATTTTAAGAAAAACAACAGAAAGCAACCACCAAATAGAGCAAGCAATTAAACAAAAGGGAAAAGTAGGGAACCTACAGTAGGAAAATAACATGACAAAGATAAGCCAATGTATATCAGTTATAACCATCAATGTAAATGGCCTCAACTCACCAATCAAGAGAAGCAGACTAGCAGGCGTAATCAAGAAATAAAATCCAACAAATGTTGTATACAAGAAACACATTTAACTTAAAAGGAAATTCATAGACTGAAAGTCAAAGGGTAGAAAGCAATACTCCATTTGACCGGAACCCAGAAAAAAACCAGCGCTAGCTATTCTGATTACTGATAAAGGGAACTTCAAGCCAAGAATGATCCAATGAGATAAAGAATGTCACTATCGAAGGCTAACTCTAGCTGGATCTGAAGTCCTGCTTAGCTCACCCAAACCCAGCAGTCCCAAGTGCTGCCTTATAGTGGGAGAGAAAGGGAGTGAAAGCTGCAGGTTAGACCCATCTCATGACCCCTGAGGGAGTGCAGCTCAGTGTCTGCAGGCAGGATCAGGCAGTTTGTATTTTTTTTCCTTTTCTATCTTAGAGCAGTGCTCATCCTAAACACAGTTTTACTTTCTTCCTTTTTCACTAAATAAATTGAAGTTGGCCCCAGGGTGGTGCATACCTGTAATCCCAGTACTCTGGGAGGCTGAGGCAGGAGGATTGCAAGTTCAAGCCCAGGTTGGGCAACTTGGATTGGAACCTCTTAAAAGTAAGAAGAGGGCTGAGGGTGTAGCCCACTGTGAGGGCCCTGAGTTCAGTTCCTGGCCCCACAAACAAAACAAAACAAAACAAAACAAAACAAAACACACACCTTGAAAGTGAAAACTGCTTGGCAAGTGTATACTATTCCAGCTGCCTGTGAATGGACAGCCAGCACCCAGAGCAAGGTCCGGTTTGTCTTCACTTGGCTTCCTACTGTTCAGGCTGTTTTTTCCCCTCATTTTAGAGAATTTAGTCCCATGCTTTCCTCCTTAAAGAATCCGGTTTCTTTTGTCCAATTCAGTTCAAATGCTTCCTTCCACTTTGCACAGTTCCCTAAGTACCATCCAGGTGACCCTCCTTGCCCACCTACTTTTCATTTTTGTGATCAGAGCTGCAGAAATCTTCACCCCATAGGGAGTGGCTGATTGGGTACCAGTGCACATAGCAGAAGCCATGTGTTGACAGCAGCATCTTCCTGTTCTGCCATTCCAGTGTCACCCCCCTGTCACTCCCTTGCTAGCTTTCAGGGTCAGTAGGAAACTGCCACAGCTGGTGTGCAAGGCTGCACTGGAATGTTTGTGCACTTGGCCAGCGAAGGAGGTTTCTGTTATTGAGTTACAATGAATACTGAGCACTGTCATCTTATAATTCATTCCTATTTCTGTTTCTGCCCAGAATTCCCTCCAGTCAGCAGAGGTAGTTGGGGGGAGGATTGCAGTGGGCTCCCTGGTGTTCCTGAGGGATTTAGTGCCCTGTGAACTGCCTGAAGCAAGAATAGGGGTACTGGGGCTGGTGAGATGGCTCAGTGGTCTAAAGCACCTACTTGGAGCAAGCTTAGCAAAGCACAGGGACCGCGGTTCAATCCCCCAGCACCACATGCCAGCCAGCCCCGCCCCCTGGTGGGCTGAGCTGGCCACACACAAATAAATAAAAAAATTAAAAAAAAAAAAGAAACTAAAATGCTTTTATAGAAATTTAGTATATGAAAACGTCGGGGCTGGTGAGATGGCTCAGTGGTCTAAAGCACCTACTTGGAGCAAGCTTAGCAAAGCACAGGGACCGCGGTTCAATCCCCCAGCACCACATGCCAGCCAGCCCCGCCCCCTGGTGGGCTGAGCTGCCCCCCCCCCACAAATAAATAAAATTAAAAAAAAAATAGGGGTACTGTGGTCAGCACAGAGAGGATCACGGTCTAATGGCACAAGAGGCAGCTGGTGGGGGCAGAAGTCCCCATGCTGCAGCCTGGGCTTGGGTCCACCTATGTATAACCACCTGGTCTCATTGCCCTCTGTCCAGTTCCCTTCAACAGTGCACTCCTTTTCCCCTCATCTTCTGTCTTGAAAAATTCTCCCCACAAGATATACTCTTGTTTCTCAGATACTTGTGCAAAGAACCTTTCAGCTTTGAGGAAACCTGGAGAATGAAGGCAGTGCCTATATCCTCAAGTGGCCTCCCTGTCCTTGTGCTTCCAGGTGGACACCCTGGAGGTGATACGGCACCCAGAAGAAACCACCAGCATGAAGAGGCAGACCATGGCTTCTTACTTCCGGGTATGGAGTCTCCTTACTCTCTACTCCATTTCTGGAGAGGACTTGCCAGCCTTCCCCGAGAGGTCCTGGAATGAAGGAGTCATTGGAATGAAGGACCATTAAGAAAGAATGGGGCGGGGGAGGGGCAAGTAGTGGCAAAGGCCTGGAGCAACCACCAGGCATAGGCTTGTTGTTCTTGTTGGCTTTTCAGCGGTGTTTTGCCTTTGAATTTACAGGACTCTGCCCCTTTTCCAGAAAATAATAGTGTAAAAAATGACCTTATTTGTCTAGACCAAAATGGTCCAATTAAAAATAGTTTTTATCTCTTACAACTATAGTTAATAAAATTTCAGAAAGTGACATATTGCAGAAAGCTTAGGTATTAAGAAAAGCATTGGTTTTATTTTCCTAGATTAAATTTTAAAAAAGGCAAAACCCATTTGCCCGAGCCCTATCGTCAATCATTTCTGCCACCCTAATTTGTGATACTTCATCTAGTAAAATGCCTCCATCAGACAAAATCATTATCTCAAGAAGGGCTGTGCACAATGCCTATTATATAGCAAAGATCAGACATATGCATTTATAGCAGTCTACACAGGTGTTTTGATTTTCACATTATAAATCATTAGTGTTTGAAGCCCCTTAGAGACCATGGACAAGCAGAGCTAAGGACCAGGTAGCTTTTGGGTAGATTGGGGCTGTGGCACCATGGGAGCTGATCTTAAGGGTGGGGTAAGTAAGGAGGGAAGGTGCTATTGGCACTGGATGGGACTCTACAGGGTTGGGTGGTTGGGAGGCTGGGAAGCTGGGTGATGAGCTGTAGGAACCGGATGAGCTGAGGGGCAGGGCTCAGGAACCTGCACTGTAGATGGAAGGTGTGGAAGGATCTGAAGCCACAAAGTCCAGCCTAATCCGTTGTTTCAGAGGCAGACTAGAAATGTCTCATGGTGTGAGCTGTTGAGTTTTGAGTCTAGTCCTCCAGCTCTGCAGCCATCTCATCTAGGCACCCTTCTTGGTGTGACTTTGTTTCTGCCTTATCACTCTGGTGGTCAGGCTTTTCTAATTGCCCTGCTCCGATCCCCTTTAGTGAATGTATCCTCATTCTCCTAGTAATTCTGTGGTGTGTGTGTGTGTGTGTGTGTGTGTGTGTGTGTGTGTGTCCTCGTAGAGTTTAGAGCCTCTCTGACTCTGTGAAGTCACCCTTAAGATCCAAGACCACTTTTATGAACAGAGAAGCTCTGGCTTATAGTTTTTCAGAAATATAATCCTGAAAATTAATTTTTTTTTTTTTTTTTTGGTGGAACCAGGGATTGAAGTCAGGCCCCTGTGCTTGCCAGGGAAGCGCTTATTCCACTGAGCCATCTCCCCAGCCCCTAATTTGGTATTCTTAAAATACTTTAAGAACTTATTAATATTTTAATAAATACTTTAAGAATCTAGCATTTGGCCCCCAACTGGTAGGCAAGGGTAGTTTTGATCATTAAAAGGCGTGATTGTGAAACAATAGAACTCTTTTCTTGTGTGGTTTACAATTGCCCCTGCAGGCTGCGTGGAAGAAGAGCTCCAACAGTGGTGCCATGGGTGACACTGGGTTCTCCTGACTACGCCCCTCTCTGGATTCCTACACCTTTCCTCCTCTTCTCTCTGCTAGGAATATTCTAGTTGATCATGATCATAATCCTTTTCTCCAATTTTCTTCTGTGTTCCTCTACTTTCTTTCTTTCTTTCTTTCTTTCTTTCTTTCTTTCTTTCTTTCTTTCTTTCTTTCTTTCTTTCTTTCTTTCTTTCTTTCTTTCTTTTGCAGAACCGGTAATTGAACTCAGGCCCTTGCGCTTGCCAGGCAAACACTTATTCTTCTGAGCCATCTCCCCGGCCCCTCCTCTACCTTGAATAAATAATATTAGTTGGATTTGCTTAGTCTTTCTGGTAGTTCTCAGACTAAAGAAATAATTAATCCCTTCCTCCAAGGCTGGGTATTTTAAATTATAGTTTGTGCAGTATGATTTTGGATATAAGACAATATTCCAAGGAGACCTAGAACATGTTCTTATTTAAGTTTCTGTCACATGGAGATACTGGTTGGCTTTAGCTATTTCACAAATACTTTTTGGAGGAGAACTTACATTGCCATCCCTTGCTGTCGATTTCCTGTTTTGTGTCAGAGGCCTGAGAGCCGTGTACAGACCTCACGCTGCTCGGAAGGGCGGTGCAGGCCGCTTGCTGGCGGCCTCATTACAGACGAGTTTCTCTTCCTGGCAGTACTCTCTGATGGACCTGCTCTCCAAAATGGTGGTTGGACAGCCTCACTTTGTGCGTTGCATTAAACCCAATGACAGCCGAGAGGCCCTGAAGTTCTGCCGAGAGAGGGTCCTCGTCCAACTGCGCTCCACCGGCATTCTGGAGACCGTCAACATCCGCCAGCAAGGCTATTCCCACCGCATCCTCTTTGAAGAGTTCGTGAAAAGGTCAGACCAGCATCCTTGGAAATGCAGTTTGTAAAATGTCTGTCTCCTGGCCACCCCTATGCTCTGGGGTTGCTGCTTCTACCCTCTTCTTTCTAACATGTATTTGGCCAGGTATCAGCTGCCGTTTCCTTACATCAGTGTTGTAGTATTTTTCTTGAGCTCCAACTACACCGCAGTGATTTGGGGAATAGCTTAAACTTCTTTCTGGTCCCATTAAAAGAAAAAATGTCCATAGATATTCGAAAAATTCTTAGCTCTCAATTTCTGCAGATGTTTCATTTTTTAACTTTTTTAAAATAAGAAAATAAAAATAATAAAGAAAAAGACGTTAGAAATGATACAGAATTTCACTAAATAAGATGATGGGAATTCAACAATGGTTGTTATATTGCATATTGTTTGATTGTTCTTATGGAAACATTCCTTCATCCCTGAGTCAAACTTCCGGAGAACTGAATGCACCAAGCACCCACTCCTGTCCTAGGCTCTGGCATGGTGCAATAAGCATTTTCCCACCATCTAAGATATCCTCAAAGTATGGGACATCAAGGGGCACTATCCTCAAGTGAATGGTCTCATTTGATCCATAAGACAATCTTAGAAGCTGGGTTCTGTTAGTATTCCTGTTTCTCAAATGAGGAAATCGGTACAGATGAAGCAATTGGCCCTCCCAAATTAGGGACTTTTCTGTGACATAAATAAAAGGTAAAGCCAAGATTTAAATCCCAGTAGTCTAGTTTTAGGGTCTGTGCTTTATTCAGCTCAGTTCTCTCCATTCATTTATGAACATGCACAAAATACGCAAAGCTTTCTAAACCTAGAAACTATTTTTACCTGTGAACAAAATTTTCCTCTTTCTTGCGCAACCTCTGCACAGATGCCTTGTATATGCAATGTGAGTATGGGTAGTACTTTCATAGAATTTTGGTGTGAAAAAATAATAAACAACAACAAGCACCTCTGAGGAGGAGGATGACTGAATGAGGAGGCACAAAGAGGAATATTGTTGTAATGGGTCTTTATCTCACTGGAGATATATA